GTATGAAGGTGAATTTCAAAATATTTAAAACAATATAATTTTTAGAGAAATAAAACCTAGTATTTGATCATTTGTTGTTTGTTTTTGTAAAACAGTCAAAGTTCTTCCACAGCTGCTTTTAACAACCAGAAAAACTAGAATCTTCATGTTAAGAATGTTTTCTTTTATGAGAGAAAGTATATGTTCCCGTGATTTTCTGAAAGTAACTAAACTCTAAATACTAGACTTTAAAGTAGTAACTGTGATAGGATACAGTGACTAAAAAGGAGAAATCTGAATACTTCTAAATAGATCGATAGAAAGATACTTTATTGATCCTAGGAGAAATTCAAGTGTCCAGTAGCAGCAAAAATAAAGATAAACAAATGATCATTCTAAAAAGTTAACAACAGTAATAATAACATCAGTCCTTCAGGTCACAGCAGCAGAGGAGGAGCTTGGTTCAGACCATTTTCTCTGCTCTGGTCCAAAATAAAATGATAAATGCTTTATTAGCATTTTTCATAAAGTTTGCATTCCTCCAGTGGATTTTCACCTGATCCACCTGGTTCGGACCATGAATCCTCTCTGCTCTGGTCTGGACCAGATTCAGATTCAGATTCATTAATTTGCCATTTGTGGTAAAACCACATTGGAAAAACGGGGGGGGGGGGTGTGAGGTGTGTTGTAGATGGGAGAGTCCATGTTACCAGTGTGAAACCATGAATCCTCTCTGCTCTGGTCTGGACCAATGTGAAACCATGAATCCTCTCTGCTCTGGTCTGGACCAATGTGAAACCATGAATCCTCTCTGCTCTGGTCTGGACCAGTGTAAAACCATGAATCCTCTCTGCTCTGGTCTGGACCAGTGTGAAACCATGAATCCTCTCTGCTCTGGTCTGGACCAGTGTAAAACCATGAATCCTCTCTGCTCTGGTCTGGACCAGTGTAAAACCATGAATACTGAACTGCAGCAACATCTCAGGCAGAAAGAAGATAGAAAAATAAAATGTATAAAGCAGAAAACAACAACTGTTTCAGAGACACTCAGGACCTGCTGCCGTTTCCAGAACATTCTAAAGTAAAACGAAAACATGTAATCTAGTTTTTCCCCAACATTATATAAATATATTCATAGTAACATCTATAAAGTCATATATTTTACTTAATGGAATATTCTAAACCCAAACCTGTGCTGTGTGTGACAGTTATAAGCAGAGTGTGTAGAGCCACAGACGCTGCAGTGTCGCTCTGAAATGACAATATCTCGGTCAAGGCGTCTCTCACTCTCTCTCTCGTCATGAGCCGTTTGTCAAGTTTACAGCCCTCACCTCGGGCCTGTCCAGGACTCTCCGACACTCAGACCTCCACCAACCCGCTCTCTGCTCCCTCCATCATTTCCTCTCTCCTTTTCCTGCTCTAAATCCTGCCCCCAAAATTAGCTCTGTCCATGAGATGATCCCAAAATAGGGGCATTGAAGAGCACAGCTGGAGCAGGCTCAAAGAAGAGAGAGAGAGAGGGGGGAGAGAGGGGGGGGGGGGGGGGGGGGGGGGGGAGAGAGAGGAGGGAGGGAGGGAGAGAGGGAGAGGGAGAGAGAGAGGGGAGAGAGAGGGAGAGGGGGAAGAGAGAGAGGGGAGAGAGGGAGAGAGGGAGGGAGAGGGGGAAGAGAGAGGGGGGAGAGAGGGAGAGAGGGAGGGAGAGAGATAGGGGGAGAGAGGGAGGGAGAGAGAGAGGGGGTAGAGGGAGAGAGAGAGAGAGAGAGGGAGGGAGGGGGGGAGAAAGGGAGAGAGAGAGAGAGAGAGGGAGGGGGGAGAAAAGGGAGAGCGAGAGAGGGAGGGGGGAGGGAGGGAGAGAGAGAGAGAGAGAGAGTGAGACAGAGAGACAGACAGAGCTGCTGTCACTTGCTGGTGTGGTAGGGAAAAGCAGAGCACCTGGAAGAAACCTACGCAGACAGGGGGAGAACGTGCAAACTCCACTCAGAGAGACCCTGTTCCGATTGGGATTCGAAACCAGGACCTTCTTGGTGAGAAGCGAGAGTGCTAACGACTCAGCCACCGTGCCGCCCAAGTTCTGGCAACCCGGATAACAGACTTTGAGGCCGACAGATTAGGGCCCTTTAATGATGACAGATTAGGGCCCTTTAATGATGACATATTAGGGCCCTTTAATGATGACAGATTAGGGCCCTTTAATGATGACAGATTAGGGCCCTTTAATGACGACAGATTAGGGCCCGTTAATGACGACAGATTAGGGCCCTTTAATGATGACAGATTATGGCCCTTAAATGATGACAGATTAGGGCCTTTAAATGATGACAGATTAGGGCCCTTTAATGATGACAGATTAGGGCCCTTTAATGATGACAGATTAGGGCCCTTTAATGACGACAGATTAGGGCCCGTTAATGACGACAGATTAGGGCCCTTTAATGATGACAGATTAGGGCCCTTTAATGACGACAGATTAGGGCCCGTTAATGACGACAGATTAGGGCCCTTTAATGATGACAGATTAGGGCCCTTTAATGACGACAGATTAGGGCCCGTTAATGACGACAGATTAGGGCCCTTTAATTATGACAGATTAGGGCCCTTAAATGATGACAGATTAGGGCCCTTTAATGATGACAGATTAGGGCCCTTTAATGATGACAGATTAGGGCCCTTTAATGACGACAGATTAGGGCCCGTTAATGACGACAGATTAGGGCCCTTTAATGATGACAGATTAGGGCCCTTTAATGACGACAGATTAGGGCCCGTTAATGACGACAGATTAGGGCCCTTTAATTATGACAGATTAGGGCCCTTAAATGATGACAGATTAGGGCCCTTAAATGATGACAGATTAGGGCCCTTTAATGATGACAGATTAGGACCCTTTAATGATGGCAGATTAGGGCCCTTTAATGATGGCAGATTATGGCCCTTTAATGATGACTTGACATGAAAATCTTACATATTGCTACTTTACGTCCTCTGAGATTACCCTGTTGTGATTTACAAATACATTTAATTGAAAAAATGAATAGTTAAGGTTTGAACTACAGTCGCTACAATAATAATAATAATAATTTTTTAAAAGTGGGGGAGTCTCCAGAGAAGAGCCAGCTCAGCATGTCCTTGAGTTGGGTCAAATGTTTCCACAGCGGCCCGGGGAGACTGACCCGCTGGCTCCTGATGTCACTGGAGCCATGAGCACACAGACATTGCAGGAACTCCTCCAGCGCTCATCAATGCCCAAAGAAACCCTCTGACCGACTGAACGAGAACGCACACATGTACAATCAATCTCCATATCTTATCCAGTGCACATTCCAACTGGGGCGTGCACGTGATTGGTTCTTTGGGTCACTTCATAGTCAGCGTGCCGCATGACTCCACGTGTGTCTCCAACGCCCTTTGGGAGAAATCTCGTCGAACGGGGTGTCAAACTTATTTTGGTTGAGGGCTGAATGAAAAATAAGTGGGTTTCATTTATTATACTTTGTTATAATATGAAGGTGTCTGCAGGGCTGGACTGGGACAAAAAAACGGCCCGGGCATTTTTTCCTTCTTACCGGCCCAGGCATGTTTTTGTCACTTTTTTACAGTTTGTTTATACCAGGGATCGGCAACTCAAAAGGTTCAAAGAGCCATATTTGACAAAAAAACTAAAAACATCTGTCTGGAGCGGCAAAAAAATAACAGCCTTGTATAAAGCTTATATGAAGGTTAGACAATGTACCTACATTAGCTACATTAGCCTAATATCTAAATGACCAAGTAAAGGCTACAAATACATAATAAGCATTCATGATTATCAAATGTGTGTTTTCACTGCAGCGTGTCCTGGAGAGAATGACGCACCACGTGATGACTCTGCTTTAACTTTGACTTCCATTTTTTTGCCTTCATGCAACTGTAGAAATACAGTAAATAAATCTGCTTTTTGGCTCAAAGGTCACACACCTGCACTGTCCGCATATCGATCACGTCACAGGCTGAAGTTTGCTGGAGCTGAATGTCCTTAATGGCCTTTTCTTTCACAGTCTTTGCGGAGGTTTTTGAAGTCTGAAAAAGGTGCTCCGGATTTTGTATGAAAGAATCCTTCACGTAATCCCTGTGAACGGTATTTAGTGCTTCATTGTTCCTCGTGTTGCAACAAAACTTCCTATTACATCGCAAACATGGAGCAGTCTTTCCTCATTGACTAAAAGCAAATGTTCAGTCTTGTCCTTAGTCCAGCCTTATTATCGACTCTTTCTCTTTTTATCTTTGGGATCCGTGCGCACACGCCGGTTTGTTTACAGCAGCGGCCGTCTGCCGCGGGGCTGCGTCACAGGATATGACGCACTACGTTGACAGAAATGCTCAAATTTAATATTACTTATACACATTTTTACAGCATTGAAATACGTTAGGAATGTTTTTCCTCCTACAGAAACCACATTCAAACTAGGAATAAAATATAGCCCTCCCACTCCATTTTCAGACATTTTTGAAAAGGCTCCAGGAGCCACTGGAGGAGCACTAAAGGTTGACCCCTGGTTTATACAGTATGTGGAAGCATACTGTAGAGCAGGGGTGCTCAATACGTCGATCGCGATCTACCGGTCGATCGCAAAGGTAGTATTGGTAGATCGCATTAAATAAAAACTAAATTACACATTCTAAACGAATATATACAAAAAACTCCGGGCAAAGTGGAGATTTTTGAAAACTCTGTTAATGCATTTGTGTGTAGACAGAGATAACCGGAGTTTTGCGTTCTCGCACGCCACAGTACCCCCCTAAATTCCTCTGATCACTGAAGCATGGATCATACTACCTTAAAAACTGTCCGCTGTGAGATGCTCGCAGCAGCGAACATCCTCCACATCAGAGAGCAGGAAAGTGATCGCGGGGACTCACGCTCGAAAACAACCAAACCAGGACTAAACCAGGACTAAACCAGGGCTGAGGACGGGGTCAGTGCTTGTAAACATACGTCTTACTCTTTACTCTGAGTGTCTTCTATGACTGTAAAAGTGCCGTTACCGGCGTCTGCATCAAAGCTCCGCCCACTTCCGTGTTTTTCCCCAACGCAGGACAGGACGTAAGAGACGCACATGTTTGGAATGTTACGAATGTGATTGATAACGCAGATGTGTGGATGCAAATTATTTTATAAACGGAGGAGGGGAAATATTTGGATTTAAAAAAAACAGGCATAGCACATGGACATGGCACCACAGTCAAATGACATCTGTGTTTTACTCAGTAATGTTTTACTGACACTTAGGTGACTGCACATGCGCAAACAACCGCGCTCAGTGCAGGAAAGCTAAACCACGACAAACTTGTCAGCGAGTTACCACCAATTTTCCGGACTATGCATCCCTGGCCGATTCAATTCAGTGCAAGTCATAAGAGTAAACTCGGGTAATGACAAAAAATGTACATAGGTAATTGTGTTGTGTTGTGCTATATTGGCTCATGCGGTTTTGCATGTACATAAACATACATTGTAGGTATAAAGAATATTTTTTGAAATAAATATATGATTTGCATTTTTGTAGTAGGTAGATCATTTTGACTTGATCCTTTTATAAGTAGCTCGCATGCTGAAAAAGTGTGAGCACCCCTGCTGTAGAGGATCAGGATGTCTGTAGTTTCAACAAAAAAATAAAGTGCAATAGTCTACATTACAAGAGAGTAATAAACATGTCTCAGAGTGAGGGAGGTGGGCACAGACATGAGAATTGGTCAAAAAAGTCTGAAATGCATAATGTCAGCCATTGGCTGGCTCTAAATCTGTTTAATTTGTTCACAACATTTTACTTTTGGGCTCAAACATTAACTTTTAATGCAATGGAAAATTTAGGTACCCGAGCTTTAATTTAGTCGCACTTCGAGAGGAAAGGGGAGACGCGGACTTTTTCCTGCAGCGGTGTATTTATTGGGTGCACAAATTACGCAAAGACATGCATGGTCCTGTGCACGTTTATGGTCTTGGGTATGGTCACGTTGCGGCTACGCGCTCACCGTGTTGTGTTGTGAGCGGTTCCCGGTGAGCGGTTCCCGCGTCCAGCTCAGAGCTGCTGGATGCGGGAACACTGCGGCCGCTGAGGTGGTGGAATCCCGTTTTAGTACATACAGCAGGTGCCCCGCGGACACGCGCGCCCCCTCGAACAGTTCTCAACGGATTTACACTTTTCACAAACATTTTTTTTGTATGAGGCAAACAGACCGGCCCAAATATGGGCATCGGCCCTTCGGGCATTGCCCGGTACGCCCGATGGCCAGTCCAGCCCTGGGTGTCTGTATAATTGACTTGTTTCACATTAGTTAGATTGGACTTTCTTTTCTGATTAAAATTAGTTCAGTTCCTGTTGGAAGATTCTCTACTTCTGTGCGGATCATCAAGACGATTTGTCCTCCCAACTGTCAATCATTCTGGTGATTCGTGCTCGTCAAATAAGACCAGAGAGTTTTGTTCAAAAAGTGGAGAGGGCGGTTCTTTCCTGAGAAAATTGTGAATTCCTCCTCCATATCTTTAACAAGAAATGTAATTAAAGACTCATTAAACATAACATAACGATGCTAACTTCTAATGACACGTTGGCTTAACATTTCTTATGGAATTACATTTTATGGTTGTTTTCTTGGGAAAATTAGTAACGGATAACATGCCATTGTCGCCTATTTCCATTAATGCTGCTATTTAATATAATCATTTAAAATCATCTAAAATCATCTCAGGGGCCACCGGAAATGGTCTCGCGGGCCGGATCTGGCCCCCGGGCCTTGACTTTGACACCTACCGAACGTCATAGAGGTTCTGTTTAATAACCAGTTGTGACATGACGCTTGAACCAAAAGCTTTGTGCAGAAGCCGTGGTTCCCATTTAGCGGCTTTATTCGCTTTTCTAATGAGTTGCAGTTCCTTCCAGAGAGTCTACGCTGTAAAAGGGGAGGGAGTTTGAGGTTTTTCGGACGCGGGGTGCGCTGGGGTATGAGGACACAAACAGTTTTACGCGGTGAGAGAAGTCGGTCGCATCTTCTTTCTCGTGCGTAAAGGCTATCCAAGGCATTACGCGCGGTCACTGTTGGGAAAACTACTTATCTACTTCTCCAACCGAGCCTCAAGTATCATCCTTACACCCAGCCTGATTTATCACCGTGGATAAGAAGTTAATTTATTGCTCAAAATGTCAGTGAAGGCAGCGCCGGACTCTGGAGGTGTCTAGTTGATGGAGTTTGTAAGTGCTTAAGTGGACTCCAGGGGCTTCTCGTTTCACTTCTCCGGGGATGGACGTCGAACAAGCGCCAGGGTTCGGTTCCATTGTGCCAGACTGTGCGGCTTTTGCCAACACATGAAAGACGAATCTGAACTCATCTGACGGATTCTTGGAGCTCGGCGCGCCGCAGGAGAAGCGCCATGGGGAGTAAAGCGCTGGCCAAAAGGCATCACTCCAAACCCATGTGCCATAAGGTGTACCTGTGCTGCGTACTGCTACTGCTCATTTTCACGCCGCGAGTGGATTCTTCATGGTGGTAAGAGCATGCCCTTGTATACTTTTGTAACACACTTATACACACAATAATTTGACCACTAATATCGTTGTGTTTGCTCCGTGGGGTAGAACTGTCTCTGTAGTCAGACCTTTCTTGACACAGACATTGTCAGTCAGATGTCTATTCGGATTCAAAATACATATAATCTCCAGAAAGCCTTTATACATGCTGTGTTTTTGATTATTATTTTATTCTTTTGAGTTGACACATAACACAAGCGCTTGTGTTATATACAGGTGTAATGTCAGGGGGAGACACGTACACACACACAGACACACACATACCCCTACACACACACACACACGCAAACACACACCCCTACACACACACACACGCGCACACACATACCCCTACACACACACACGCACACACATACCCCTACACGCATTCAGATATTCCAGAATGATCATTTGTCAGTTAGTGTGGTTAGTTGTTTACTCAGTACTGGGGAAATGATGATAACTTTCTTTTGTGAATGTAAAATTTGCTAAACAGTATAATTAGGTTGATTTCTGATCTTTTATCAGAAGTGTGTGTCACGTCTATATGAAGACGAATGACACTGCCCTCACCCCCTCCCCCTCACTCCCTCATCCCCCCCTCCCTCATCTCAGTCCATTCATCTCAGCGCAGAGTGAAGTGGCAGGTGCAGGTGCTGGTGCATGAATTTATACCCCTGGATGATTTCTCTGGAGACTTTAACAGCTCCAGGACAAAGGTAAATTCCTAAATAAAAAACGTGGCCCATAAATAACGTGTTATTGGAGTGATTCCACCTGCAGTAAAGTCTCGTGAAGAGATGGTTTCAAAAAGTGTCAACAAATAAGTGCAATTTAAAAGAAAATCGGATGCTTCGTGAGTAAAGTGGGTTTTGAAAAGGACAGACGACTTTGTAATGCCGTTGTTTGGAAGAGACGTTAAACCAGGACGAGGACTGAGGCTGTAGATCCAGGACTCAGACTGTAGAACGAGGACTGAGGCTGTAGATCCAGGACTCAGACTGTAGAACGAGGACTGAGGCTGTAGATCCAGGACTCAGACTGTAGAACGAGGACTGAGGCTGTAGACCCAGGACTCAGACTGTAGAATGAGGACTGAGGCTGAAGATCCAGGACTCAGACTGTAGAACGAGGACTGAGGCTGTAGATCCAGGACTCAGACTGTAGAACGAGGACTGAGGCTGTAGATCCAGGACTCAGACTGTAGAACGAGGACTGAGGCTGTAGATCCAGGACTCAGACTGTAGAACGAGGACTGAGGCTGTAGATCCAGGACTCAGACTGTAGAACGAGGACTGAGGCTGTAGATCCAGGACCCTCTTTGAAGGAACTATGTTTTCGTCTGTGAGCTGTAGAAACATGTTTTCACTTGACATGAAAAAGACAGAACCAAAAAAATATTGGATTATTCATTTAATCATTAAATAAAATACGGCCCTCAGTGTTAGGTCTTGTTTCATGAGATTATATACCTCATTTTAATATATTTAAATAAACATAAACCAATCCGACCCTCGGCTTGTAGCAAATTAGTTTTTTTAGCCTCTGACGTGTTTGACTTTGACGTCCCTTTGCTAACGGGACGATACTGTGAGTTTTCTTGTAGCAAATTAGTTTTTATGTGAGTTCTTTGTGAGTTTTCTGGAGCTCGAGGCTGTAATGAACCGACTCAGGTACAGTTCTTACATGACTGACATTGAGAAACACTGACAGGACTATTTATGGATCTATGAATAGAATAGAGAAGAAGAGGAGATGCTGACTCCATTCAGAAGATTTATGAGTCACCGCTCTCAGTACCAGAGTTCAACATTGCATCATGGGTGATTTGGATCATGTGACTCTTCGGACAGAGGTCAGCTGCAAAAACATCTGTATGATTTTATATAAGATCAGACAATATACATTTATCCTTAAACTTTTGTTGAGTAGTCGTTGTAGCATCTTGGTCCATCAACATTTTTTATTTCATTTTTTTGTGGAGATTTGAAAAGATAAAGTATAAAGTAAAAGTTTTATGGAGATTGTTTTTAATCAAAACGACCTTAAAAATATTAGTGATATCCTATTTATAATGAACAGTTGTTGAAACTTGGTCCAAACTAGCCTGGCCTTAGCTAACCGTACACTGGGTCTGGCCTAGTGGGGGAGGGTCCCAGCTCAAAAGTGGCCAAAATGACGTGCGCTGACATGCTGCAATACCACCCCGGGCCTGTGGGGGTGGACCCGGAAGAAGAATTAGCCAATGCTAACATATAGCATTAGCAGACCTCTCAAAAACGTCTTTACAGGATGGACCAAAAGCTGGCTCTTGGCCCAAAGCTCCGTTCCACATGTGTGTCAATGCTGAGGGGGTGTTTTGGACCAGTCTAGTTTAGTCGCTGTGGACTTTAGAAGTCTCTCGTTCAAATGAATGGAGTTGTGTCGGCTGACACATGCGCAGATGCGTTTTTTCACAATTTTCTTGTGGGCGGGACCACTCGCGGCCATTTTGGATAGCTCCAGTAGAGCACATTTTTTGGCTCATTAGTTAGAACGGCGGAGATAGGCGTGACTCTGTCCGTTAATATATACAGTCTATGGCCTGGCCCCTTTGTTTGTGATTACAATTGGTTGAATTCCATCCGACCAATCAGAGAGCGTGGGAGGCGGGTGTTGTAGTTAGATGCCGATAGTAAAGTATTCTGGTCTGGTTCTATTAAGAAACTGAAGCCGGAGCAAGAGGAATGTTTAGCAAATGTAATCGCTGCAAAGATTGTGGCGCAACTCCCCAAAGGCTTCGTTAGCAGCAAAGGAGATGGCTAAAGCTAGGCTAAATGCTAACGACTCACTCGGGCTCATTACATACGTCACGGTAAACTCAGATCCAATCGTTTCAATCTACAAAAGTAGTTAGCCCCTCCCACTTGTTAACGGAGTCAATGGAGCAAATCCAGACCTTAGTACGAAATGACATTTGTACTATGGTGTGGTACGGCCAGGCTAAAGACAGACTAATGTTGAGAGCTTTTTCCAGTGTCACTCCAAGTTTTATACCAATCATTTCTTTGGTCAACTTCAGTTCCTGTGCCTTGAGGCAAGACACTTCTTGTGCCAGGTCTAAATGTGGAGATTATTCTTCGTCTGAACTCGAACATAGAACAGAGTCTTGTTCAGTCTTTCTCACCACATTTTTACACATATTGATCGAGCGTGTGATGGAAACGTCGTATCAGCAGTTTTTATATTTGTGTCAGAACAGCTGAATGTGTGAGAATAAAGAATCACACAACTGTCAAACTATTGTCATCACGCCTTTTAAAACACAACTTTCAAATAAATACATATATAAATAAATACACTGCACTGTGATCTGTGGAGACACACACTTCCACATGCACACAATACGTGTGGAAGTGTACACGGAGATATAGTAGAAGAAGAAGCGCTGTCAAAATGCCATCTTTTTGTGCGGTGTACGTTTGTAGCAACAAATAGAGAAAGACAGGAGTTTGTTCATGTTCCAACTGTGGTCTCATATAAAGGAAGACACTTTGAAAAAATCACTGGAATGAGGCGGGCGAGGTGGATCAAGGCTTTCCCAGATAAGTGCCCCCTGCAGGCCACCCCAATGAAACGCAGTCATTTCTTCTGTTTTTCTCTCCAAAAATGCAGAAATCAAGACTCTTTTGATATTATTTGTTAGTCCTCCCTTAGAATTGAGTGTCCCCGAATAAGACTGTTCCAAACCGTAGACCGCACAGGAGCAGAGCCTTTGACTCCAAAACAGACTTTACATGGTTTTCAATGGGAGCAAAACTGTCCCACCTCTGCTCATGCGCCCCCTACAGGCCAGTTTAATGAAACACAAGAATAGATGACGGCTGAGAAACCTTCCTTTGTTTTGTTGCACTTAGTAACAAATCAACCCAATCCATCTGACTATAGTTTCTGGTCCTAAACAGTTTCATGTATTATTGCTCACTGTTAAATCTTTAGATCAGTTCTTTTCAGACAGAAGAGTGAAGGGGACCACTCTGGCTCAGCCCAAAGCTCCAAATAATAACTCACCTGGTGCTTTCTTACACAAACAAAATACAAGATGTTTTCAAATAGAATAAGGACAGAATGCAGAGTCTTTAATGCTATGACAAACAGGCTGTAATTTAAATATACAGTAAGCCATGCACTGTCCCGTCCTGTATATACAGTCCACTATCTCCTGTTGCATCTCCTCGGTCTTCATCTGTTTTTCCGCGGCTCCTCTTGGACAGAGCGGAGGTCTTTTGGCACAGCTCTGTCCAACACAATAAACACAAGTACTGCTTCTGCTCTGCTTTACTGCTCAGCCATGGCTACACCTTTGCACGGGACAGCCCATAACAGGAGTGGAAACTGCCTGCTCGCTGTCTCTCTCTGTCTTGGTGGCCCGTCCGGCGACACAATTGCGATTAAGAACTCTAATGATATCCGGACGGGGAGCGGAGCGTGGAGGCTTAAAGGGGCTCTACGTAACGTGGGCAAATGGCTGGGAACCTTACTGTAGACGTAGATGTACTCCTGGTCTGAGTAGCTGGCCTGTGACAGCGTGCACACTGGAGGATTAGGTGTGAATGGAGCAGGAAGCGCAGGCCTGTCAGAGCTCTTCACTGAACCACAGGAATTTAATAATCTCCTCCACATCCTGAAGTGGACAAATGGGTTTGGATGAATAAGCGCAATCGTAAATGTATGAAGATGAAGTGTGGAGTGTAGGGGTGGTATATGAACTCTGGGACAGGACTCCAGGAGGAAGAGAAGGTCCCATCATCAATGTAGCCCTTGGTATAGACCAAAAGTGTGTAAGCGGCTGCTCCACTGCTGCTGCTGCGAGAAAATGAGCTGTGGCATTATTACTATCGTTTGTGTGGATGGATGTGTTTCTGCTGCTACTGAACACCTGCCTTTCTAACTATCAATCTACTTATAGATAGATACTTTATTGATCCCCTTCAGAGACAT